AAAAGAAAACAACCAACCAAACAACCAAAACAAACAAGCAAAACATGAGGAATAATGAGTAAGGCATTTCTAAATGAGTGGGATGGTATGACATACTACTTAAGTGTGATACTTGTTTCTTAATAGCACTTTAATTTTAGATTTACATTCTACTCTTCATGCCTCCTCCCAAAATTGTTAGTATTATTTACACCAAGGACAATCCTCTAAACTTACTATAACTATTTTCTACTTAGTGACACTACCTCAAAACTATCTCCTATAGACTCTGTTATGTATATATGTCTACTTTTTTCAATTTATGGCCATTTTGTATGCTAAATCTCTCATGAGTTGTACTGTATTCTGTATCACTCATAATCAGTAAAGTCATGAATTACTTGTTTCTTCTGATTCACCGAGTACTTGAGAAACCAGTAATCAAAAGTTTACTTGCAGTTACTGGAACTGACCTTAAACAAGTGTAAATAAATCATTTCCTTTTATTTCCTGTTTTTTTTTTTTTTTGAGACAGAGTCTCACTATGTCATCCCTGGCACAGTGCTGAGGTGTCACAGCTCACAGCAAGCTCAAACTTTTGGGCTCAAGTGATTCTCCTGCCTCAGTCTCCGTAGTGCCTTTCATTTCATCTTATTAGATGTAGTGGTGTGATGGAGCAGGCTTTACTGGTTCTAGCTTGTGTAACTTGCTTATTAATATTCAGGAATTTTGTGAGCTGGTTTTTAGACACAGCCAGTATTAAAAATTAAATTAGAAAAACTTACAAAAATGAATTATGTTAAAAACAAAGGTAATGTATATATCATTTATATCATTTTTGTTCATTTTATGGTTATTCATGCTTTTGAAATTGTATCTACTGTTTCTGTATAAGTGGAAATACTATGTGAGGATGTATTACATGTCACCAGAGTGTGTACTGGGGGTGTACTTGATTCCCAGTTTGCATTCAGTAATGTCAGATTAGTACCTTGAAATTGGCCCTCGTCAGTAGGAGTATTTACACTATGACGAAAAAGAAAAAATATACATATATAATGATGTGATACAAACTAGGCCTTATCTATTAGAGAGGCTATTTTTTGTATTTTTTTGAGACAGAGTCTCACTCTGCTGCCCTGGGTAGAGTGCTGTGGCATCATCATAGCTCAAAGCAACCTCAGTCTTTTGGGCTTGTGCACTCCTCTTACCTCAACCTCCCTAGTAGCTGTGGACTATAGGCATGCTGTACCCAGCTATTTTTTTTCTATTTTTAGTAGAGACAGGATCTTACTCTTGCTCAGGCAAGTCACAAACTCCTGAGCTCAAGCAGTCGACCCACCTTGGCCTCCCAGAATGCTTGGATACAGAAGTGAGTCACCATGCCTGCTCAGTATCTTTTTATAGACCATTCTTATGTAGGTTGATGATCTAACATCACTCTTATCCCTGTACTACTCTTTCTGACTAACCCTTATCTCTGTAGAGTTGAGGAATCAATTGCAGTGTTATCTGTACTTGGCTATAAATTCTCACCGTCTTGTTACTGGGAACATAAATCTTATAGAATATTGACAAAGTTCATGTACTCTTGGAAAGCTTAGGTACAATATAAAAATAGAATACTATTTGATTTAAGTGCTGTGTAGAGAATTAAAATAGAGAGATGTGAGAGTGTCCACAAGAACAGTATCCAAGAAGGACATTTCTAATTAAAGCTACCATCTGAATGACAAGATGGAGTCAATCATGTTAAAAATTAGAGGAAAAAGCATTTAAAGCAGAAGGAGCAGTAAGTGCAATTTGAAATGAGTGTGCCATGCTATTGAAACAACTGCTAGGTCTAAGGTAGAGTGGGTGTGAGAGGTTTGGACAAGAGATAGGAAGAGTTACGCCCTGTCAGGCTATACACAAGTCAAGAGAAGTAGTTGGGTTTTATCCTAAACACCATGGGAAGCCAAAGGAGAATTAAGAAGATGGGTGGTATATGTGTATTAGTCTTCTATTGCTTCCATAAAAACTACAACAAAGTTAATGGTTAAAAAAACAGAAATGTATTATTTTATACATTTCTGTACAAGTACATCAGAAGTCTAACATGTAAATCAGTGAGCTAAAATCAAGGTGTCAGAGGGCTGTTATCCTTTTCTAGGAGAGGATGCTCACTTAGTTATTTGGGTTGTTGGGCAATTCAGTTACTTATGACAATGAGATTTCCATTATCTGCCTAGCTGTTGGCTAACGGCCATTTCCAACTTCTAAAGGCTAATATTAGCTCATGAGCCTTTTTATGTCTTTAAATTCAGCAGTGATGGATTGAGTTCTTCTTACGCTTGGAATTTCTCCACCTTCCGTCTTCTCTTTCTAACCCAGCTTGGAACATTTCTGCTTGTTCAGATTCATGTAATTAGATTGAGAACAACCAGATAATTCAGAATAATCTCCCCTTACTAAGCTTCATAGACTTAATCTTAACCTGAAAAGTCTCTTTTGCCATGTAAGGTAACATAGTCACAGATTCCAGGGGATTAGGGTGTGGACATCTTTGGGAAGCAATTAATTATTCTGCCAACAGTAGATAACATCATCTCAAGGAAGGTTACCAAAAAATAGATTTAAGTGGAAGCTGTCAAGATTCCTTGACTTGGCTGTCAACATGCACTCACCAGTTTCTTTGGTCTACTGAAGGACTAGCACAGCCAGCTCACTGAGTGGAACTATTGATCATGAAAAAGGACTATTCTCATTGTTTTTAAAAAGGAGTGTCCAAATTTTAGTATGTACCAGTCTTAAGATGATTCATTAATTTACTCATCACTCAAACTCTGCCAAGTTTGTAAAAGAGCTTTCATTAATCACCCATAACTTGACTGTATGTAAGATTTAATATAACATGAATCCAGTTAAACCTGTTGAGTTATTTTGAGCCAGCAATTTAGAAATCACTAAATCTTTTTAATGCTGTTTAAACTTGTCTTACTAAGGTGATGCTTATTGTATTGTTTATAATTTCTAGAGAGTAAACAAGATATGGTAGGCTCTTTGTTGAAGCACTTTTATACGTGTATATATTAGACCTTTTCATCTTCACAACAACCCTATGAGGTATGCACCGTAATTATCCTAATATTTTACTGATTCTGAAGCTGAAGCATAACCAGGTTAATTAATTTGCCCCAAATAGGAAATTAAGACTCAAAAACTTGAGGGATTCCTAAGTTCTTATAGGTGGCCACTAAATGAACTGAGATTCCCAATCAGGGCATATAGACCCCAGAACCTGTACTTTTAACAGCTATCTAATTAGTTTATGAATTATTAAGGAAGATCAAGACTAGGGTATGTGAAGCCTCAACTGGTCAATTATTAAGTGGCATGGAATGGCTGTGAAATTTACTGACAAATGTTACAAAAAACAATTGGAATAATCCTGCTGATTAATATAAAATATTCTCTGTGTCTTGCTTTATCTGCTTTTTCATTCTTCCTTAAAATTGGTCATTTCAGTGAATTAATTCACATATGAGCTAACTTGTTTGATATTCTAACCATCTTATAATTTCACAGACATCTTGTTTGAATCTAGACAATTACATGAAGACAACACTGAATCCTTACATAATCAACGTCACTCTAGCAGCCAAAATGTGTAGTCAAGTGCTTTGCCAGGAGCAAGGTGTGTGTACAAGGAAAGACTGGAATTCAAGTGACTATCTTCACCTGAACCCAGAGAATTTTGCTATTCAAATTGGGAAAGGTGGAAAGTACATAGTACTTGGAAATCCCACTCGTGAAGACCTACAGGAATTTTCTGATAAATTTCATTGCAGCTGTTATCCCACCTTTAGTTGTGATGAGAGAGAGGATATGGAAGACATTAGTGTTAATGTGTGTATTGCTGACGATGTTTGTATAGATGCTGCTCTAACATCAAAATCCAGTCACCAGCCTTCCAGCTGGAATGAAAAATCTTTCACTTCCCACCATATCTCATCTTCCACACAATCTGGCACAATGTTCTTTGTTAATATTTTGTTTTTCACCATAAGCTTTTCTGTGAATTTGTAGTTCTATGTGTTAGCTAAAATGAACAATATGTCCATTTTAAAGTGTGCTTTTTAGACTAATTAGATGTCTGAAAACAATATATCTCACCGAAAGATCTTTGCGAGTGGTGATTTCTTTTCAACTTGACAAACACTGCAATCTTGTGAGATTTCCCAACCATGAATTACATTTGTATTCTAGGACTCAACAGCTTGCTTGTCAGTACTCTCCAGTCTAAAGCACACAACTCATATTATTTGTCTGACTTGTAAAACTTCCAGTATTGTTTCAACACAGTCATTCTGCACAAGATAGTGACATTTTGATGAAATTATAATTTGACATGGAGTGGTTAAGAACTTGAAAGTGAAAACCTATTAATAAAACCTGTCAAGACTAGGGGAGGAGGGGCAAGATGGCCGACTGGAGGCAGCCTCTGGCAGAAGCTCCCATCCAGAGGAAAGGATAATGTCCAGAAAGTACCCAATTAAGCTGAAGACTGGGAGCTGAGTGGAGAGAGAAGAATGATATTTGCAGGTCACCTCTGCTGAGGCAAGCTGTGACTCCAAGAAAGCAAACTTCAGCTGAGACGTCACCAGAGTCACTGAACCACTAGGATCAGACAAGAACCAGCTGAATACAAGACAGAGCCACCTAACCCACACCAAGAAGGTTTCCTCAGCCTCAGACTGTAATACTGTACAGGTCCTTTGCAAAGCTATAGGGAAAAAGAAAAGCTGTGGTTATCAGTCCCAGATCCTTGACAAAGGGATGGTTAACCAGAACCCCAGGAACTCCAAATCCAATTTCACCTTACCTACCCATCTATCCAATGGTTAAAAACAATTATGTGGCAGAATCAGTGGAAGAACTCTGGCAACATGAATAATCAGAATAGATCAGCTTCCCCAAGGAATGATATGGCAGACACAGCACAAGATCCCATTCATAAACAAATGGCTGAGATGTCAGAAATCAAGTTCAGAATTTGGATAGCAAGTAAGATGAACAGAATGGAGGTAAGGATGGAATTTTAATTTCAAGGAGTTATTCAAAAGATGTCTCAAGAATTCAATGAATTCAAAGACAAAATCCCCAAAGATTTGACACATTGAGGCAAGAATTTGCAGCCCTTAAAGATCTGAGAAATACACTAGAATCCTTCAATAACAGAATAGAACAGGCAGAAGAAAAGATCTCTGACACTGAAGACAGAGCTTTTGAACACTCCCAAATGCTCAATGAGGAAAAAAAGTAGAGAACAAAAAGAGATCATTCTCTCAGAGAGTTCTGGGATAATTCAAAGAGATCTAATAATCACCTTGTAGGAATACCTGAAGGTAATGAGGTTGCTGTGAAGGATACTTCACATATTTTACTTCATGAAGTAATCAAAGAGAATCTTCATATTTTACTTCATGAAATAATCAAAGAGAATTTTCTAGACATGCCAAGAGATTCTGAAATTCAGATAGCAGACAGTTTCAGAACACTGGCATGACTCAACCCAAACTATCATAGATATAATTAGATTCACCTAAGTTAATATGAAGGAGAAAATTCTGCAAGCTTCAAGATGTAAGAAAACCATAACCTACAAGGGGAAGAATGTTAGAATGACTGCAGATGTCTCTGCTGAAACCTTTCAAGCTAGAAAAGGGTGGTCATTAACATTTAATCTCCTTAAACAAAATAACTTTCAACCCAGGATCCTGTATCCAGATAAACTGAGTCTCATCTATGATGGAGAATTCAATACTTTAATGACATTCACATGTTGAAGAAATTTGCCATAACTAAACCAATTGATGCAGAAAAAGCTTTTGATAATATCCAGCATCTTTTCTTGATCAGAACGCTTAAGAAAATAGGTACGGAAGGAACATTTCTTAAACTGATAGAGGCCATCTACAGCAAACCCACAGCCAATAGCATATTGAATAGAGTAAAATTGAAATCATTTCCACTCAGATCAGGAAACAGGCAAAGGATACCCACTGTCTTCACTGCTTTTTATTATTGTAATGGAAGTCCTAGCCATCACAATCAGGCAAGAGAAGGCAATCAAGGGTATCTAAATAGGACCAGAGGAGATAAAACTGTGAGTCTTCACAGATGATATGATTGTATATCTGGAAAACCCCAGGGAATCAACTACAAAACTCCTAGAAGTCATCAAAGAATAAGCAACATCTTAGGTTATAAAATCAACACTCCATAAAGATTTCTGAATGTATTTATCTTCATTTATTCTTTATGAGGCTTTTGTTTTTAGTCCTTATCTTAAACATTGTTATTGTTGTTAAATTTTAAGGCTTTTAATTCTGTGAAGACAAAATAACATAATAATCACATGTATATGTAAAAATTAAAAAAAATGCTCATCATCATTAGTCATCAGAGAAATGCAAACCAAAACTACTCTGAGATACCATCTAACTCCAGTAAGAGTAGCCCACATCACAAAATCCCAAAACTACAGATGTTGACATGGATGTGGAGAAAAGGGAACACTTTTGCACTGCTGGTGGGAATGCAAGCAAGTACATTCCTTTTGGAAGAAAGTTTGGAGAACGCTCAGGGATCTAAATGTAGACCTGCCGTTTGATCCTGCAATTCTTCTTCTAGGTGTATAACCAAGGGACCAAAAATCATTTGGCAATAAAGATATTTGCACCAGATTGTTCATTGCAGCTCAATTCATAATTGCCAAGTCATAGAAGAAACCCAAGTGCCCATCGACCCATGAATGGATTAATAAATTGTGGTATATGTATACCATGGAATACTATGCAGCATTAAAAAAAAATGAAGACTTTGCCTCTTTTATGTTTACATGGATGTAGCTGGAAAATATTCTTCTTAGTAAAGTATTGCAGGAATGGAAAAACATATCAATGTACTCAGTACTACTGTGAAACCAACTTATAATCACTCACACTTGCATATGAAAAATGAAACACAACTATAGCCTAGGATGAATGAGGGAAAGGGAGGGAGAGGGGAAGGGAGGAGGTGGGTAGATAGAGGAAGGGTTAGTAGGGGGACCACACCTATGGAGTGTATTGCAAGTACAAGTTGGATCCATCAGGTATAGAACACAAATGTCTTAATGCTGTAATTGGGTAAATGAGGTGAAGGCTATGTTGATTAGTAGGATGTAAGCACTCTAATTTGTACCAATAACACATTGAATCTCATAATGGTGTAAATGTATTTATGATCTATGTACAAATGACTCAATAAAAAAAAGAAACCTGCCAATAAAATTTAGAGAACATGATATTTCTCTTCTCTCCTCTGCATGCAATCGAGAGAGAGAGAAGGGCTTAGGCAGAAAGTGGATGAGTGGGAAAGAAGAAAATGAGATGAGGGAAGAGATAAGGTAAATGAACAGATTCTTTCCCTTCTCTTTTTCCACTGAGGACTCTAACTTGCACAGGATTGAAAAGAACATGTGTTCTGTATACAATTAGCCTTCAACTCCCTGTTAAAACCAAAAAACAGAATGCCGTGGTTGAATGCCTTACTTGAGCTGACCTGTACAATTGTTAACTGCCACCTTTTCCCTCTCCCCTTGCTCCAGACTTGCTTTAAGAAACAAGACATGAAGCCACAAATCACTTTGGGATATGCCAAAACCATAATTGGCTTGGTACTCAGATTATGGTGATAAAAATCTTAAGGCTTTACATTCCCTGTGAAGAATAAGGAAAATGTTTTACTTGTTGCAAACTTTGTTTCTTTATGCTTAACCTTTGTTTAATACCTGAATTGAAATGGAGCTGCAAAAAGAAATGCAAATAATTGAAATTATTATACATTTTTTAACTTAAATAATTTTTTAAAAATTGAAACAATTGTATAGTTTTTGACATCATGTTAGTTAAAAGTCTTTTTTTCTTTTTTTTTTTTTTTTTGAGACAGAATCTCACTCTGTTGCCCAGGCTAGAGTGCTGTGTTCATCACCCTAGCTCACAGCAACCTCAAATTCCTGGGTTTAAGAGATACTTCTACCTTAGCCTCCTGAGTAGCTGGGACCACAGGTGCCTACCATGATGCCCAGTTGATTGTTTTTGTTTTTAGTAGACACTGGGTCTCTCTCTTGGCTCAGGCTGCTCTCGAACTCCTGAGTTCAATTGATCCTCCCACCTTAGAACTCCAGAGTGCTAGGAGTACAGGACTGAGGCACCACGCCCAACAGTTAATCTTTTGTATTTTTCCCCTTTTATTTTTACTTGTCATGTAATAATTTTCTGTATTTCCAGTGTACAGAGTGACATTTTAATTCATGTGTACAGTGTGTGATCAAATCAGGGTAGTTAGGATATCTATCACCTAAATGTTATTTCTTTGTGTTGGGAACATTTAGATTGCTCTCTTCTAGCTTTTTGAATATATGTATACAATCAGTTATTGATAACTATATTCACAGTGCTAAAGAAAGAACACTAGAACTTATTCCTCCCACTCAGCATAATTTTGTATCCATTAACAAGTCTCTCTATATCCTCTCTCCCCCATCCTTCCCAGCTTCTAAAAGCTATGTTCTATTCTCCACTTCTGTAAGTTCCCTTTGTTTTCTTTTTAGCTCCCATATTTGAGAGAACAATATTTGACCTTCTGTGCCTGGCTCTTTCACTTAAGATCATGTCCCCTAGGTTGATCCATGTTGCTGTGAATGACAGGATTTCATTCTTTTTTATGGCGTCATTGTGTATTTATGGCGCCATGTGTATAAACGCTGCATTTTCTTTATCCATTCATCTGTTGACGCACACTTAAGTTGATTCCATATTTTGGCTATTGTGATTAGCACTGCAATAATCATGGGGGTGTAGATATCTTTTTGATATTTTCATTTCCTTTCCTGGTGATAAATACTCAGTAAAAAGATTTCTGGATCCTCTGATAGTTTTATTTTTAGTTTTCTGAGAAATCTTCATATTCTTTTTCATAATGGTTATACTAATTCACATTCCCCAACAGTGTATGTACCAGAGTTCCCTTTTCTCTGAATA